GAAGACTGTAGAGATATTGTGCAAAATTGTGTGAATTCAGCCATGACGGGTCCAGCAGGATCTAAACCTGAGAAAAATCAATGAATTCAAATGGGTTTTTGTCAACACCTGAACGTGCATTCATGGTCAAACACATTCTGAAGTTGCACAATCACTAATTAAAAAGACATCATCTGACATCTACTAGAACTTCAGATGAACAAATCACCAGCATGAGGGTAACAGCATTATGCATGTCTATGTTCTGCTAGCAAAAGATCTCATGAACCACTTCACAGATTTTAAAGATATTTTCAGAAAGTTTGTTTGTTTGTTTGTTTCACTTTATTCATTTCATTTGTAACACAAATTAACAAAGTACAAAAAAACAGGCAATGAAAATAAAATCAAATAAAATGAAAGGCAGCAGAAGAATAAATCTTATATCTGCTCCTTTTTTTAACCAAAAAAATATTCAAAAGAAAAGTAAATTACAACAAAAATCAAAATAACTGAAAACACTCAAAAAAACAACAACCTAAAAACAACATTTTAAGACACCAACTCAAACAACAATTTGCATGAATTCACTTATGCTTCTCCATATTTCTTCAGAATACTAGTTTTTATCATTCTCTTCAATATATACAAGGATCTGGCATTTTTAACCTCRTCTTCCATGCTGTTCCACAATCTTATTCCCTGGATTAAAGTGGATCGCTCCTTCAGGCTARCTGAACCTATAAAACTCAAATATGGCAATAATGTAGCCAACTGTACATATTCAGAGTTAAATTTTGGTGTTGAGGTAACAATGTCATTTCCAAATCATATTTTGAAAACTACTCTCAGTGGATGATGACCATTTATAAAAACTTACAAATTATTTGTTGCTATCAGCCCTGTTTTTCTAACTAATAATCCAATAACTGAAGATATTGTTCTGCATGTAAAGAAATTAGAGGAAAGTACGGTTAAACCACTAAACTAGTAGAAATTTGCAGAAGCAAACATTAACRGCTAATCACTAACTGTGTTGCACATCCTTCTCCTTTTAGTTGAAGACTGGTGGGAGTGACACAAACCTGTGGATGTTAGCTTGACAGTTAGCTGTTAGTGGACTTAAAATTGAGAAAACCTAATGTAGTGGAAGCTAATTTGTTCACTAAAAGTAGTGAGAAGGCTAATCTGCTAAGCAGATTTAGCTATTAGCTGATTAGCAGAACCATGTCCACCACTGTCACTAAACGTGAAATTAGCAGAAGCTAATGCTAAAAAAGTAAACATTAGCTAAAGTTAACACTAGAATCTTATCACTAATCCCAAAGACAACTGTCACTCAGGCTACGTTCACACTGCAGGCAAATCCGACCCAAATCCGATTTTTTTGACCCATCTGACCCATATCCGATTTTTTTATGACAGTCTGATCGAGACAAATCCGATTTTTTCAAATCCGACCCAGGCCGTTTCAGTATGTGGTTTTAAATC